TCCGTCACAGACGACGTTACAGTTGTAACATGAGCAAGCTCATAGTCTAGTCTGCGTGGCAACGCATCAGCCAAAGCATTCTTCGTTTCCGGCTTATACCTCACCTCGAAGTTATATTTCGCAAAGAAGGATAGCCTGATAGGGAGAGATCCGAGATATACTAGGGCTGCAAGCCGCATGGCAGAGTTTTACTATAGGAAATAGTGGAGCAAATTTATGTAAAAGCAGCCGACATTTTGTATATATATACCCTGCAAATAGAATGTTAGCTATCTTAAGAACTCTCATTTCCACCCTGTAACGGGATTACACGTACCCTGGTAACAGGGATGTGTGTCACACGAGATGTGCATGGTGTGACTGCACCCAAACAGTAATACAGTATGTGGCTAGGTAGCCAGTAGTTATGGATGTATTTAGAATTTACTATATATATTTAGTCTGATCCTCTGTGAGGATGGAGGAATTTTCTTCTTTGCCCCAGGGCATGCAGGACAGGCATAACAAGCTGATGTCCTTGCTTGGCCCTGAGGGCATGCAACAGCTTGTAGCGCATGATCTCGAAGACATCGGTGCACGTCAAGAAGCGTTTTCAAGAAAACGCGCTGTTAGAGCACCTGCAGCAGAAAATATGCAGCAGAAAATGTCTGTATCATTTGCAGCAGAAAATGTATGTATCATTTGCAGCAGAAAATGTCTGTATCATTTGCGTCTATGACGCCACCGTCGCTGACGGATGATTTCCCCGCCCTGAGCCGCTCATGGTGAGCGTTAAGGTTTTTTGAGGGGAAGGATGGATAGAGTCTCCTGCTCTGGGTGGGAAAGGTCGAGATGGCCATCGTTTTCGCCATGCTCCAGTCCGAGCAACAGCGCGTAGCGCTAGCCATCTCAAAGTTCGGTGGTCGAGCGCGAGAATGGGCACTGACGTGCGGCACTTCGGTCGCAGCTGCGTTTCCTTCCTGGGCGAAGCTGAAATTACAGCTCTCTCGAGTGTTCTCGCAGCTCAATCAGGCATATCGCGTAGGATCGCGCTTCTTGCCTCCCGACAGGGCAATAAGGAATTGGTGGACTTAGTCCAAGAGATGCACACTCTCATTGCCGGGATGGCAGCAGATCCCCATCCGGAGGTGGTCACAGTGACCGTTTTTTATAGAAAGCCTTCGCACTGGCGTAGCCAGAATGGAAGTCTTCCGTGTGCATCCGTCTTCGTTTGAAGAGGCGGCGAATGTGGAATTGAATGCCGAATTCAATTTCAAGTCGGCACGACTTGGTTGGAATGCACAGTCCAACAGCTCGTAGAGCGGGTCTATGTCCATGGATCTCAGCTATTCTGAGGGCGAGGGAGCAGAGCTCGGAGCTGCCGGGCAGCACGCAAACACACGATGGTGTTTTGTCTGTGTGGATGCTCGTCATCTGCGTAACGGTCGCCCCCTGCGCAAGCCGCGTCGTCCTCTGTGGGCCTCGGAGTCAAGTTCCTTGACTTTGATAGCGTGGAACGCTGTTTAGTCTTAGACTTGTTGCAAGGAATGACCTCATCCTAGGAATGGCATGA